CACACACACACACACACACACACACACACACACACACACACACACAGACAGACAGACAAAGAAAGTAAAATAAATCACCAAATACATATATTTTTCTCACTTGAAGCACAACTCCCTTAACAAAATTGTATGTGTCAAAGAATGGTTGTTGGCTATCTTCCCACGACCACACTTTACACGTGTTTAAGTTCACTGACACAATTTTCTTCTTGGGCTTGTCCCTTACTTGATCTGAGGCTAAACAAAACAATGCACAATTACATAAAAACAATAAAAGATGTTTTTATTCATATAACATTTCAAACAGGTCCACGACTTCAGGTTTATATTTAATTCTAAAATATGTAAGCAATCATCAGAATACACTAAAAAAGGCATTTTCATTAAGCTGGGTTCACATTTTTTCTTAATTGCCACTTTTAAACTAAAAAAACACTTTATTCATTTGTAAACAGATGCTGTTAACAATTCTCAATAATTCTATTCCTTCTTACCAACGATCTTCCCAGTGCTAAATATTTCATCCTTGGTTTTGCCAGCCATAAGGAAATTGTCTGTATTAAGCAGCACATTCTGTTCTATACATCTTGTGATGAAGTCCACTGACACAAGAGGAATCCCCATATCTAGGGCTTTCCTGCATTTGTATGAAGAATCCACCTGTTCTTTGTTTTCAATAACTACAACATTTGTCTGAAAATTAAGCAAATAATCTGTTGGGGCCCCTTTTTATCTATTGTGTGGTATCTTATTTATCTTGAAGATTGTTATGTTTGTATGGTCTCATCCTATATGCCATGGACATATGTGTAATATTATAATTACATATGTTTTCTATTTTTTGGTTGTTGTTGTATCGAAAGAGCGCATTCTCAACGAATTAAGCCAGGCTTTACAAAGCCGGTGACCTAAAAATGGCAGACGTACATGAAAGAAAAACCGCCTAATCTTTTAATAGTCTCTCTGCCTCCCCACACGTCGTCCCTGCGGGGTACAGTAATTAAATCGCGTCTCCGTTCGCCATGCGGAAGCTACCTGAGAAATATTAAGTGCGCATGCTCATCAGTTAAACTCGTGGTGAAGAAAGCATGGCGGCTGAAGGCGATCGAAGGAAAAAAGCTCTTCTGTTCTATTATCTTTGAAAACAGAGACGAAAAAGGAATAATTTGGCCCGTAGAGCAGCAATGAATCGACT